GATTTTTTTGTTTTTGTTTTTGTTTTTGACGTGTGGGAAACACACTTATGTCCATATTTCCATATACTTCCCCATAAGAGGTGTTTTGTGTGTTTGTTCATAAAAATTTCGACATCTCGAAAGAGAGCGACAATTTAACGCTCTATTTATAATCAAATCGAACCTTTTTTTTTTTTGAATTCTTTTTGTTAGATGAATCGCTCACATGTATTATCCGTGTTTTACATTGAATTTAAAAGTTTAGCGCGTTTTTTTTTTTTTTTTTCTGTTGGTTAAAACAATACATTGTTGTATTTATTTATTAATATAATAACGAAAAGCAAAAAAAAAAGTTTTTTTTTCCAAAAAAAAGTTTTTTTTTCCAAAAAAAAAAAAACGCCAAAAACATGTGAAATATATAAAAATGCTTATCTTACTTTGGTAATACCCCATGAGTTTGAAATTTCGGAATAAAATTTAGATGAAAATAGGTTCAAATTACACATAGATAGGAGCTTTCCTTTCTAGAAAAACCCCATATTTAAAAAATCGACAAACTATTATAGGTTATCCTAAAATCATCAACCCATAAAAATTTTCTTATAATGAGATTATTTTTGGATTTACTGTAAAAGAAGGGGTAGATTAAATATAACTTTAAAGTTTTCCGTTGCCTTTTGAACTTTTTCTATCATTTAATCTATCTATAAACATAAACGGTTATTATTATTTCTTTAAGGTTATTCTCAAAAAAAAGATAAAATGAGAATTCATTTTACGCCAATGATGAATAATTCTTTTGAGATTGGGCGTTGTACTTTACCATGATGAAATGATTTGCTATCAATATCAGTTCATTTTCTCGATATTTTTTTTTTTTTTTTTTCATGTCAAATTACTAAGATTATTTATCATTGTTTACTTGACCTTTTACCCAATATGAAGTGAAGTGAAAATAAATAAAATATTATAAAACTGTTTTAATCCAAGCCCGTTATTGTTGTTTGCAACTTTGCAGATCGGTACCAAATCAAATGCCTGCCCTTTACGAATCTTGATCTAATTCGGTTCTTGAAATTTTTTTCTCCGCAAACGGAAAAAGCAAATGACATTAAAATAATCGTAACTTTCAGATGCGGCCTTACAAAATCGGAAAGTTTCATTGAACAATGAGCTCTGCATTTTTTGTTTATATCAAAAATGCGCTTTTCAATGATTTTTAAAAAAATAGAAGTCCTCAGATATATTCTAGAAAGGTTGATCGCTTCCGCATTGTGAAAAGATCAGCAAAAATGACAACAATGTTTTTTCTTGGAAGAGAAACGTGTAATCTTATTTCCGGCCGAAATCAAACACAAAAAATTTTAAGGTTTTAATACCAGTTAAGTAATGATTGTTTCATCGTTTTTTAATTGTTTTGTACATCACCATGTTAAATTCGAATAAAAAAAACAATCCACCTATATATATCGCGAGTAAAGTTTTATTAACACATGTGGGCTCGATTTCGACCAGCATTAACGAATTTTAATTTGAATTCTGTTTATTTTTTTTTTTTTTATTTTAATATAATCATATAAATGCAAAATTGATATATGTCAGAAGGTGATAACGGTAGATTCTAAATTAAATTGTATGTCGCATTGTAAATCTAAAAACTGCGCCACGCTCCATTATATGTAGGAATAATAAACTTTTCTTTTCTCAGGTCCACGTTCAATACGCGCAACAGGAGCTGGTAATTGAACTGATCTAGTTCGTCTGGTTGAATTCTTCGGTCTCTGAACTGTCTCAGTTCGTGATATTGATGAGAAAGTGTGTGAGTTAATGGGCGAATTCGGAATTGATCTAATTGAGCTAATCCGCGGCGATGTTGAGTTGTAGTGTAAAGATGGTCTCTGAGCAATCGCCCGTGGCATCGATAATTGGGTCGAACTGTACGAGTTAGAGGATGTAATCGAGTCGGTTCGTGCTGTCTCAGCTCGTGATATTGCTGAATTAGTGTGTGAGTTAATGGGCGAATTCGGTATTGTTCTAACTGAGTTAACCCGCGACATTGCTGAGTTGTAGTGTAAAGTTGGTCTCTGAACCATCGGTCGTGGCATCGATACTTGAGTTGAACTGTACGAATTCGAGGATGTAATCGAACCGGATCGTGCTGTCTCAGTTCGTGATATTGCAGAGTTAGTGTGTGAGTGAATGGGCGAAATTGGCATTGTTTGAATTGAGCTAATCCGTGGCGACGTTGCGTTGGAGTGTAAACGTGGCATCGATACTTGGGTCGAGTTAAAGGATGTAATCGAGTCGGTTCGTGCATTCTCAGTTCGTGATATTGCTGAATTATTAATGGGCGAATTCGATATTGTTCTAATTGAGCTAACCCGCGACATTGCGTCGTTGGAGCGTAATGTTGGTCTCTGAACCATCGGTCGTGGCATCGATACTTGAGTTGAACTGTACGAATTCGAGGATGTAATCGAGCCCGATCGTGCTGTCTCAGTTCGTGATATTGCAGAGTTAGTGTGTGAGTGAATGGGCGAAATCGGCATTGTTTGAATTGAGCTAATCCGTGGCGATGTTGCGTCGTTAGAGCGTAAAGATGATCTCTGAGCAATCGTTCGTGGCATCGATACTTGGGTCGAGCTATACGAGTTAGAGGATGTAATCGAGTCTGTTCGAGTTGTCTCAGTTCGTGATATTGCTGAATTAGTGTGTGAGTGAATGGGTGAAATCGGCATTGTTTGAGTTGAGCTAATCCGCGGCGATGTTGCGTTGGAGTCAGTTCTTGCTATCCTTGCTTGTGGTATTTCTGAGTTTATGTGTGAGTTGGTGGATGAAATCGGTATTGTTCTAATTGAGTTAATCCGCAGCATTGTTGAGTTGGAGTGTAAAGATGATCTCTGAGCCTTCGTTTGTGGCATCGATACTTGAGTCGATTGAATTGTTTCAATTGAGTTGTCTGGTGGTGTAGATTTGTTTGTACCATATTCTTCGTGACATTCATGATTTTCATGATACTCGTCAATAAATTTTTCGGTTTTATCATTCGCACCATCACTATCAAAGTCATTAAAAAGTTCCTCAGAAATCTCTCGACCTTTATCATTGTAATTATCAGGTGAAGGATTACTCTCAACCGAGTCCGTCGAATTACTCGAATCACTTGAATCACTCGAATAGATATCATAAAAAGTGCAACTTTTGTTCATTCCATGACGTTGAGTGATCCTCCTCAGCACCAGAGCTCCAAACAGTATTATAAGTATATTAAATGTTAATAAACCTGCGGCTAACAATGGGCCATAGAATTTAGTTATGAAACGCCCTCCGGATGCATCTATTTCATTTTCACGTTTCTCGATTGCATATGCCAACCCTATTTTATATATATATATATATATATTTTTTGTTTTAGAACGAAAATTATATTTAATTTAAAGGGAGAAAGGCAAAATAATAATAATAATAATCATAATAACAAGGAACCAACTTTTTACACACGACAGTGATTTTTATTTACCATTTGACATGAAGAATGTTAACATTAACATCAAATGAATTAGTAAAGACATTGGAAAGAGAAGAGAAATTCAATAGAAACTTTTTTTTTTTTTTATGGGGAAGTATATGGAAATATGGACATAAGTGTGTTTCCCACACGTCAAAAACAAAAACAAAAACAAAAAAATC